ATATTATTTTTGAACAGGCAATTGTTAAGCCTCAATGCATAGAAATCATTCGAAATGAACTTAAGGGAAACATTCAGCAAATCATTGATCAGAATGACGAAAGAGACGTGAAAGAAGAACTTTGCTCTCATCTTCAGCTGAATGAGATTATGGATCGTAATTTGGAAGATTTATCTAGTGGAGAGATTCAACGGCTTGCTATAGCTCTTGCTGCAATGCGGAATGCAGAGATTTATATGTTCGATGAGCCCTCGAGTTATCTTGATGTGAAACAACGGTATAAAGCTGCCCAAGTTATCAGATCATTGCTTCGGCCTAATAGGTTTGAAAAATTCCTATATCTACTCATTAACGTTTCAATTTTCTGTATATGATGAGGCTTTACATGGTTCATATTTTTCTATCAGCTATATTTTTGTTGTGGAGCATGATCTCAGCATGTTGGAGTATTTGTCGGACTCCATCTGCTGCCTTTATGGGAAGCCTGGTGGATATGGTGATCTAACCCTTCCATATTCGGCCAGAGAAGGAATTAATATTTTTCTTGCAGGATTTTCTCCCATAGAAAATCGACGAATTCGGGATGAATCTCTCATATTTGGGGTATCTCTCGTGTTTGGGGTAAACCTCTGATTATGTGCTGGAAACGCAAATAATTATTTTTTCCTTTTTTGGTAATGTGTTAGCGAAGACATTGATATGAACTATTGCTCTCCAGGTTGAAGAGGAATTATATAATGATGCTACGTCAAGGTTGCCTGATAAACCATTTCAATACCCAACCTTTACTGGAACTCGGGGAAATTTCAAGCTTGAGGTTATTGAGGGTGAACTTGATGATGATCATATTGTTGTTGTGCTTGGTGAGAGTGGGATAGGAAAGACAATGTTGCTGCGGATGCTGGTGCGATTCCTCTTTATGATATGATTTCTCCTTACTATAGTTCTGCTCTTGAAAATGCACGGCTTGTTTAGTTATTATATACTTGGCCTTTTGAATGGCAGATCGAATGGCAGACTCGTTTTAACGCATCTGGTTCACTAGAAGTAACAGACGGAGATATAACTTACTTTGGTGATGTCTCTTACAAGCCACAGAGGATCATTCTAAAATCTCAATCTACTGTCAGGCAGTTGCTGCATGAAGAAATTCCTTTAAGATATTCACATCATCGGTTTGTATCTGTTGTGTTGGAGCCTCTCCAAGTTGTGCAATTAATGGATCAACAAGTTACGAATCTCTCCGATAATGAGTTGCAAAGAGTTTCCTTGACGTTATGCCTTGGACAGGTAAACTTTCATTGGTATATTTTATCATGTACTCAAAAATCATTGAGACTGAATACTGGCTTTAATGTCCTTCCAATATCTAATTTGATAAAATTTATTTGATGCCTGAGTATTAAAAGAAAAAGAAGTCTTTTAGACATTAGTTATGCTATAATATCGGCATTAATTTGTTTCCCATTCACGTAATGTGAACTGTTGTCTTCTGTTGTGTGCAGCCTGCCGACGTATACATGATTGATGAACTAAGTGCACATCTCGACTCTGAGCAACGTATTGCTGCCGCAAAAGTCATAAAGAGCTTTATGCGTAACAGTATGTCAAATGCTTTGGTGGTCGAGAGCGACCTTACAATGGCAACATACCTTGCAGACAGAGTGATTGTGTGCGAAGGGCAGCCATCTGTAGAATGTTTTGCCAATTCACAAGAATCATTATTCGATGGGTTGAACCGATTCTTATCTGTAAGCTCCCGCTTGTATTGTTTTTATCTATAATTCCCCCATGCTTATGGATGAATTTCAGTTCATGTTTTTGCACCTCATTAAGATAATAATTTCATTTGTTTTATATAATATTCAGCATCTGGACATCACATTTAGTCGGGACCCAACAAGTAATCGCCCAAGTATCAACAAGCTGGACTCAACCCGTGACAAGGCGCAAAAGGCTGCTGGGACTTACTATGTTTTGGATGATTGAAGCATCCTGGTTGCATATGTTTTGTTTACTTTATTAGGATTAATCTTTTTATTTTTTCTTTTTTTTCTTTTTAAGCCGACGAAGTCATCATTGGCAATTAGGATTAATTATTATATTAGGAGATTAGGGACTTTGGATGCAAGTTCAATGGATTGGTACTTGTCATTTAAGTTTCTTTTAAAACCGGGGTGAAGATCCAGACCCCCAATAATGTAGTAACTAGTTTTGTCCATTTGGATCTTGACTCAGTTTCTATGAGCTATTTTCTTTGTTCTTGAGGTTGTTACTATGGTTTTATCAATTTTCAGTAGGCGAACTCTTTTATTGCCATTGTTGATTAATAGCTTGAGACTAAGGGTGAATTACTATTCCACAAATTCTACTTGCATTGGTTTTCACGTTAGGAAGTGCTTGTGTTCAACGTGCATGTTGATATTGCCTATATATGTACTTTACAAAGATATCTAAGGAGGAGATTATTTTATATGTACAAAATCATTGATAAAAATCGACAAGTGACGGGCCCCCAGCCGCCCCCCATTGCCGCCCCTCCAATAGGGGGCATATTACTCCCCACCCATTTTTAGTCAAAGTCGAGAAATATTTGGTCAAAGTCAATAAGGACTTAAGTTGAACAAATAACTTTCATAGGATTTAAATTGAAATTTTGAGTAATTGAGGGTAAGAAATGATATAATAAAGGAATCCAGGGATTTAGTTCCTATTATGGGAAATGAAATGACTAAATGTGATATTGTATGAAGATTGGATTTAGCCTATTGTACAACATTCTTCTTACATCAATGTTCACGGCTTTCTCATAGAGTTGGAGTCCACGATTATTTTAATCACGGACCCCAACCCTTGCTTGTGTGTTGTTGACATTGCTGTGAAAATTGATGTACCCTTAGCATGATTCTAACATATATCATACGTATTATTTATTTTCTCATTTTTTTTTTTTTTGGAGGAAAAAAAAAGAGAGATAAGAGTTGAGTGAGAACACGGAGAGAAAAGAGGAAGAGGAAAAGAAGAAATAGAACTTTCAAGCTAGGGTTCTCAACTTCTTCAATTTCTCATTTGATTTAGAACGTGAAGTATAAGTATATTGAATTAAATTTTTGAAGGGTTTATGGAAATTTTGCTTTAATTTAAAGTTTAGCAAGAATTAGGTGTTAATGAAGTGTATTTGAGGTTATAATTAATAATATGACAAGAAATATGTGTTTGGAAATTTGTGTTGAAGAAAGTGGAAATTTGAAATGATTTTCTAAGATAAATGACATTCTTTCAAATTCTTGGAATTATATGATGCTAAAAACTTTAATTAAGGATTTGAGGTTGAAATTCTCCATTTTTTAAGCCATTTCCGAGCTTTTGTAAAATAGGTGCTAGATTTGAAATTCTGTCCAAAAAGGTGCTATTTCTGTCAATCGTTTCGGTGTTTTTAATATACAAAACATGGTGTCATAATTCAGTATTCTGGAATTTCAGTGCTGTTTTTGTCAAACCTTTGATTTTCAGATTTTAAAGGTTTGAATGAAGTTATGAAAAATATCGAAGCGTATTGGACTAATTATGTATAGGGGTTGTGTCTGTATAAGTTATACCATTTTTGGTAAACCCTAAAATTTGTAATTAGATTCTTGAAAAAATAGTTTGGGAAAATGATAGTTATCATGAAATATTCAATTGAAAGAATGGTTTTATGGAACAAGATGTAAATTTAATTTGTTGAATTATGGTTATTAGTTTTACTAGATTGGAAGACTGGATAATTATTTTTATGATTTGGATGAAGGTTAGTTTGATCAATTAACTATTAGAAAATAGACTAGAAATGGAATTAGCTCCAAGTGATTAAAGGAAATTTGAAAAAAAATTATTCAAGTATCAAGAAACCAAGTTTTAGATTTGGTTATTAATATTCAGAATTACTTAATATGATAGTGGTTAAGGTAGTTATTTTACATCTTATTTCAGGTGGCAAAGATATTGGAAAAACTTGTTGACCATCATAGCCTGTAGCTTGTTTAGAGCGAGTGGATAAAACTTATTTTTCAAAAATAAGCATTCTTTAAATTTAAAGTTAACTTATTTTATGAAGTGAAGTTGATAGCATGATCTTCAAAATAAAATGATTTTTGTAATCAATTCTTTTTGAAAGTTAAATTCAGTTCAGTTAAATAATTTCATTAGCATGTTATATTAATATTACATGTTTCAATATAGCTAAAATTATTTTTAAAAACCACCAAAAAGTACTCAGGTGATTTTACCCCATTCTGTAGGGATGAAATAGGTTTGGTTTGGGCAGTTTGCACTATATTTTCAATTGAAACCATTTCATGGGGTTTGAAAATTTTTTAAACCAAACAAACCATTTTATTTTTCAAACCAAACCAAACCATTATTTGAGGTTCGGTTCGGTTTAAATCTGTAGTTTATGTATCGACATTATAGTAATATATTTAAAACAAGTTAACATATAAATTTAAACGAAAACTAATAATATTAAATGTTAAATTACATTCATATTTGTCTAAAATTCGATATACAAACAAAAAGGCAAAAATATAGTATCAAGTTAATTAGCATCTAGCAACTGGCACTCCACTCAAACTTTTGCGAGCAACAATATCAAAATAAGTACAAGAGTACTAACCACTCATTTTATACAAATGGATCAATGTTCCCTATTGTAGCACATGACTCGGCCTCTGTATGATATGTAAATATCACATTATTTATTAGTCCTTATTGATGATAATAACAAGCAACTAAGAAACAATATGCATAAAAATATCAAAATTGATAATAGAAAATAAATGTCACATTCTGTAGCTTTCTCCGAGTCATCCAATGCTTCTACCTCATTCAAATATTAATGAAACACTATAGGTTCATTGTTGCTATGCAACCAATTCTTCGTACATATGAACAATCTTTGCACTCAATGAACTCCTAAATGAGTCAAAAATCTGACCACTAGTGGAAAACGTTGACTCTGAAGCGACCATGGATATTTGAATTGCTAATACATCTTTGGCAATTTTAGAGAGAATTTTGTACTTGTGCGCATTCAATTTCCACCATACTAACACGTCAAATTTGGGATCGATCAAATCTTCACAATGATCAGACAAATAATCAACCAAATCATTCTTCTCAGATTGCATGTTTTACATAGTTTAGCGTTAAAAACAGAAGGAGTTTGTTTAGAAAGATCGAAAGCAGGTTGTGAAGGACTTGAGTTACTATTTTTTGTAGCCTCCTTTGATGAAGCCGATGGTGGAGTGATTGGAGTTTCCATTTCTTCATAGCATGCATACAACATGTGGTGTGTCTCTTCAACTCTTTTTAACAACATTTTGCAACTTCCACATCGTAAATAAGTTCAAACCTGACTTTAAGAAGTTCCAACTTGCATCTTGGGTCAAGAACTATTGCAATGAATAACAACTAATTAAACTTTTCAACATGGCCCCAATACATATCATATTTTTTCCGCATACTAATTGCCTTGGATCCCTCAAAGTGTTAGGCTCTTTAGCTAATTCATTCAACTCTGCATGAAATTTCACATATTTCTTGAAAGAAAGAGTTAGAAGTTACATACTTCGAGCGACTAAATTTTAAAGTCATTTCATAAAAAGTCTTCAAGAACCTAACAAATACTAATGCTCGATCCCAATCAACATGTGTTGGTGGTCCATTTATATTTCTTCCATCGGACCTATCTTCATTAAAATAATTTTTATAGTTTCCATCACTTTTCTAAATAACAAATGCTTTTTAAACTTTGTAGTAGCTTGCAACATCACGTATGTGGAATTCCATCTAGTTGTGACATCCAAACACAACAAAACTCGAGACTCAATATTTGCTTCCTTGCAACTCTCCTTGAACCTTTTTAGTCGTTCTGGGGAAGATCTAACAAATCTCATTGCCTTACGAATGGTTGAAATAGCATGACTTATTTCTGTCAAGCCATCACAAACAATAAGATTGAGTATATGAGCACACGACCTCATATGAAACATTTCTCCCCCCAGTACTAAACCATTCTTTTTCTCCTCGAAACAACTCTTCAATCTCAGTAATGCTACATTGTTGGAAGATACATTATCAATAGTTACACAAAAAATATTATTGATTTCCCAGTCTTTAAGACAAGAAAATGAAAAAGAAGAATAAAAGAAATTGATGATTCAATAGTAACTATCCAGCACTTCCTACCCAAGATGTACTTATTGAATTGGAAATTTAAT